GGAAACCAGAGAGCAGGGGTGGAGAGCAGCACGACACATGCTGGACATCCCTGTGTCACCCTCAGTGCTCCTCAGGGCTTGGGTCTTCTCTGAGCCCCAGAAATGGGAGGGAAAGGGGAGGAGGAATGCCAGTGCCCACCCCAACCCCCTGCCCAGAGCCCCTGGAGTCTGCACTCACGTGCCACAGCTTGAACTCCCGCACTGTCCACTCCTCAGAGCTGCTCTGCATCAGCAGGTGCACCCTCACCTGCCCATAGGACACTGGGGCAGACTCTGATGGCCAGTAATGGTCACACAGCACCTGGAGCAGGACACGGCACAGTGAGGGAGCAGATCTGGCTCCAGGGAGCATCTGCAGCAGCTGTAGGGGAGCCAGGACAGGTCTTGGGGAGCAGGCAGGGGTGTTTCCCCTTCCCTCTGGGAGCTTTGCGCAGCTCTGCCTCATAGCCCCTTCATTTGGGTCTCAGCCTCCTCCAGGAAAAAGGACCTGTGTGGGTCTCATCCAGTCCATGTGAGGTGGCTCACCCAGAGGACATGGCAATGTCAGATTCTGCAGAAATATCTGAGGGTGATGGGCATGGTCCAAGCTGAGCTCCCACCCCAAGCTGCACAGATCAGCCCCTCTTCCCCCAAAGCTGTGTGGGCTGTGCCCATCCTGGAGCCATATCAGAGCAGGGTTTGTGGAGGGCACAGCCCCAGCCCTGGGCTCAGCTCCCACCACCAGGGCAGGGCTGGGGCTGGCAGGGACCTACCCTCCCGTTCTCCATGCACACGGTCAGCATGATGATGTTGCAGACATTCTGCTCCCACACCAGCCTCCAGAAATCCTCGATGGTTTTCTTCAGGGGTCCCTGGGTGGCAATGAACTCTTGCTGGGATGTGTAGCCCTGAGCAAGAGGCACACAAGAGCAAGGTGAGTTACAGGTTGCCAAGGCAGGTGGGTCCTGCCCTGGCACCAGTCAGTGCCTGCTCTGTTGTTGTGGCAGAAGGAGAAATTCCTGCTGCCCTCAGCCCACATGGGCACAGTTCCCAGGCAGCTGATCTCAGCTGATTTCACAGGAAGCATGAGCTGCCCAGCCACACTTTCTACATATTTGGAATAAAGTGACCCACAGCATTTCCCTCCAAGCAGTTCCTCATTCAACCTAACCAGAAAAAGACAGATCTGTGTTGTTCCCGTGCTTCCCCTTCCCTGCTGAGGACAGGCTGAGCATGCAAGGTCTCAGGGTGTCTTTGCCCTTGGACACACCATGCCCCAGATGCACACAATGCCCCTGCGTGCAGCGTGCCCTGCCTGTTACCTGGGAACACCTCACACAGGGGGCAGGAAGGCACAGCTCCAGGCTTGTTCAATTGCAGCTGCACAGACCAGAGGGGAAAAGAGCAGGCAGAGAGACAGGGCAGTAAGCTAGGAGGTGATGGAAGAGGATAGGTGAGAAGAAAGCAGAGAGACTTCCCACACTCACAGCATTTTTCCATCTCACAGTCTCCATCAGTGCAACCACCCCTCTCCACCTTCCCCCCAGCTCCTGCTGGCCTGTACCAGCTGTGCCCAGCTGTTCACCAGCACATCTCATGCCCACCAGCCCTCACAGAACACAGAAACCCGGGCAGAGTTTCTGTGATGGAGCCGTGTGGCCACATCTCAATGGGGAAGGCAAGTGGGCACTCACTGGCATGAAGTTGGCATTGATGTAGTCTGAGTGAGGATCCTGCCCCAGCTGGCTCAGCTTGACCCGAGAGTGATCATCTGAAAGAGACCCCACACAGGTGAGACCCCAGGGACCCATCCCCAGGACATGGCACTGGGTGAGCCCCCCACCAGGACATGGGAGTGGGTAACCCAGTGGGAGAAGCCTGAGCAGCTCCTGCAGGGAGGCTCTGTGCTCTGCCAGGCACCTTCTCCCCACAGAGACGGGCACCGGATGCCAGCTGGGCTAGCAGGGCACTGGCAAACAGACCTGGGGTCATGAGGGCCACCAGTGAAGCTCATGGACCCCCTCTGGTCTCCTGGTGGGACCCATCCTGGGCTGGGCTCACCCAGTATAGCTGGAGAAGATGGGCAGGATGGTGGCTCAGCCCTGCCTCAACCTTTAAACCTTGAATCTCCAGCAGGAAAATGGAAACCGAGCCCATTCCAAGAGTCCTCCTGCTGCCAGGAAAGGAGCCAGACACTGACCCTGGCACGGATGCAAGGTGAGCCTGTCCCTGAACAGCGCCCTGTGAGCTCCCTGGCAGGGATGCAAGGTGAGCCTGCCCTGTGAGCTCCCCCCTGGAGGCTGGGGGAGAAGGAGGATTCAGCACTTACAGGGTAACACATGGGGGTATCTGTTCTTGGAGACATTTGCTGGCAGCTCAGCCTCCACCTTGGACTGCTCCTTCCCAACTTCCTTCAGCTCCTGTAGGACAGGGGGAAAGAGAAGCACAAATATTCCTCTGGAGAGCTCCTGGTCAGCTCAGCTCCCTGCTCATGGCCTGTCTGGAGGATGAAGAGGATTTCCCTCACACAGAGAGCTGCTCCTCTCCTCCCTCACACGGTCAGTGCACTCTGAGCCATGGAGGCTTTTCCCACTGCCTTTTCCAACAGCATTGTCCATATTTAAAAGAAAAGCTCAAGAACAAATTCTGGGGGAAAAAGCCTTGGAAATCTACCACAAAGCTCACAAAAAACAGAAATATCTTGTGCTGCATCTGCCCCTGCCCCTATCCTCACTCAAGAAGCCAGGAAAGGGTGATCTGAGGAGGGTTTGAAATTGCTGATGGGAATTTGAAGCAGCTGCAGCACAACAGTCCAGAGGCTGCATGTGTTGGCAGTGGGAGCCAGGGAAGGCAGCCTGAGGTGAAGCTCACAGCCTGCCCCTGGGTCTGAGAGTGCTCCTGGACCTCCCCTCTGGCTGCAGGCTCTTTCCTACCACTGTCAGGGTGGTTCTCATCACCTCCCTTCTCCCCTTCACCTCCAGTCAGGCCTGGGGCTCTCTGCTCTGTGCTGGTTCACCTCACACCACATGTGCTTTGACCAGAATTTAAACAAAGCAAGTTCTGAGCAAAGGAACTGCTTGACACTTGGTCCATCCAATCTTTGACCTCCAAGGCTGCTCCTCAGGCTGGCTGGACTGCCAGAGATGGGTGACCAGCCCTGGAGAGGAGCACTCCATGTTGGACACCCAACAGGATGAGCCACCAGGTGCAGAAACCAAATGTCATCTCTAGGAGGTGTGATATTTTCTGAAAAATTCCTTCGCCAGGATTTCTTCTCTTGAGAAGCTGGGAAGCTTCAGCTTCTCCTTCTCTGGAATGTGATTTGGAGAATTGTTTACCCAGCATGTGAATTGTTTTTAATTAATGGCCAATCACAGTCCAGCTGTGTCAGACTCTGAGTCTGACACGAGATTTTATTATTCATTCTTTGTGAGCCTTCTGATGTCTCCTTTCTCTTTCTTTAGTATAGTTGTAGTATATTGTAGGAGTGATGGGGAGTAGGACAGTGGGACAGATGGATGGAGAGATCTCTGCAGCCAGGGCTGGGAACTTGTGGGTTATTGCAAAGGGCTTGGGTGCAGGGCCCGGCTGGGAGCTGCCAGCCACAGCTGGAGCAGGACTGAGAGAGGAGAGGGGAGAGAGGATGAGACGGTGAGAGAGTAAAAGGGTAAGAGAGCAAGGTTCCCATTACAATACCATAAATCTTCTTCTGTGTTGAATATTCTCATTCTCACTAACCAATTAGTACAAGATACAAATCCTACAGCATCTCCATACAGCCTATAGGAATCATTACGTTAACACACTGAGTTACATTTTAAACCCTAAAAACTCCTCTTTGGGCCCTTCTGCCAAGCTGGCAGGGTCTGCTCTGACCCTTGGGCCTGTCTGCAAGCAGAGGGTGTTGTTCCATCAAAAGGGGATCACCTTCAGCTGGCCACACCATTGTTTTCCAGTTGTTCA